GTACACGTCGACCTATTTTCACTTAAAAAAACATCCCAGAATTGCACAAAAATGGCACTGCGCACACTCTTGACTTTATCCATGTACACTGCTGAAGTCCTAGCTAGTAACCTTTATCGCCTTACCAAAATGTCGCCAAACTAGCTGTTACCATATTCCAAAGATTAGTCAAGAGTTGAGTAAATCATCTGCTTTTTTACTCGATCCAGACTGGAGAGAAAAAACTTTTATCATGACGCCAATAACTTGGTATTTCCATTATGACTCATTATTATTCAGTAATTATGACGTCATTATCCAGTATTTTTTCTTCGATATTTCGTACTCCATGTTGCGGTTTCGGAACCTATAAACTAAATGTTTATATTTTGAGAGGCAACACGGATTTCAGGAGTTGGTGAATTTTCAGTATTTGATTGTATCTGTAAAAGCTTTAACTGCATCATCAATAAGCACATCTATTGCCATTTCTTCGGTGAGCTCCACAAAAGATGAAAAGAGTTCCCAGTCTGCCCTATTAACACTCAATGGACAAGTCGAATCTGCTCTGCCTGTCTTGGTTTCCAAGCATTTTTTAGAAAAATTAAATAAACAAGTATGCATGGTTTGAAAGTGTAGTAATTTTATTAAATCAACATAATTTCTTATCATATTTTACAAAGTTATTTCTTAACATGTCTAGTATTTTTACTAGTGTGATATTTTGTAAAACATTCAATCTTGTGAAGTGAAACCTAAGAGACAGGACCAGATTTAGATTTGACGAAATCCTACGCTATTTGACATATGAGGCCCTTTATGAGAGATACGAGTCAATTTTTTTTATATGCGATATGGTACAATTTTTGCGGGTGGCTCCAAGAAAGTGAGGGCCCTAAGCTATAGCTTGCACAGCTTATACATAATTCCGTCACTCTTGACAGAACTTGCACACATATCTTGTTTCGCTTACAGTTTTCTGATTCCTTATTGCCTCCCATATCAGATATTTTATCTGCCAAATTTCTTCACAGATTTTCGCATCTTCCACAGAAACACTTTTGTGCTTCCCATTTCAAGGATTAAGAAATTACTTAAACATATTACCTAAAAAGCAAAACTGCACAGTAGAATCAACAGACAGATAGTACTATAACTAATAGCACTAAAAAAACACAATGTGCATAAAATGAAAAACTAACGCAGTGTACTGAAAATTCAGGCAAAAACGTCAGTCTACGTGGGCCAATCCTAGGAAGTCACAATGGAACAACATAAGTTACACGACTCATCTGTTAAACATTAAAAATATAAAACAAGGGTACCTTGTCGTGGGATTTACTCTGTTTCATGCAACAGATATAAAAATGATCACAACTGTAAGGAACATTTCCAACACTAAATGTGGAAGAAGAGATGGTGAACAGATGGCAAGATCAAGAGCATGAAATATCCTTGTAGACTCATAGATGTAGGTATCCTGTCCATTACTGAGGAGACAGAGGCAATGATCTTCAATCATTTGCTTAGTTTGACTGCCTCAAGGATTTGTATCCTTACTTCCCCAAAGTGGCCACTGAAGTCACCTATTATGATAAAAGATTGAAGCAGCTGCTCTTAGATAGGCTAAATCTTGATGAACAATGTGGTACCTTGGAGGAAGTAAATGGTACAAACTGAAATCAAAGTCTGCGCTTTTATTTGAATTGTTAACAGATTGAAATCTTATCCCAGCCTCCCATTGAGGCTAATGTTTAAAGAAATCAAACTAGAGGGATAGTAGAGTCCTCAACTTCCACTGATGTGCTCACCCATCTGATTGCCTTTTCTAGTAAAAGAGTACCTATGAAGCTTAGCTTGTTGTATCAGCTGCAGCACAGCTTCTTGAATAGCCAAGCACATAGGATGATGCAAATCAATCATATCTGTGAGGCTAACAGGATTTTGGTGCAACAATTCCATGAAATGAGAGTGGCCATTATGTTTGATGTTTGCTCTTTCTTTTTTCTAATTTTCCCAGAAGTAGAATATTTAGGACGTCTGTAGAAACATTAGGTATTTTTGACGCCGGAGAGATGAAAAAACGCCTTCACCGGGAATCAAACCAAGGGCCTCTTGAATACACGACCAGCATGCAGATCACCACACCACAAACGCATGCCAAGGAGGCAGGAGAAATACCTTATAAACTCCCCCTTTTTAAAGGGTGACTGGGGTTTTTAGGGGACCCAATCACCAAATCCTGGGTGTGGAGAATCATCATCCACCACCCTTTTAGTTCGGGGGCCACTGTAGACACATTAGGTATTTTTGAGGCCAGAGAGATGAAAAATTAGCAACGCCTTCCCTGGGAATCAAACCTCGGACCTCTGGAATATGCGCCCAGCGTGCAGACCATCACACCACGAAGGCCTGCCAAGAAAAGGCAATACCTTATATGTCTAGTCCATCTTCCATGTCTATCTCAGAATCTAAACTATCTGAGCTTATTCTTCCAAAGAACCGCTACTTGGATTTCTGAGATGTTTTTAATTCTTAATTTTCTTTATTATTTGCAGTTTGGCTATCCTTTGTTTCTTTATTATATGGAATTTTAACTATAAAAAGTACTGATTTCTGCGCTTTGTTTTGAACTGGCTGTTTATTTGATATGCCTGCTATCATTTGTGTGCCTGCTGATTTAAAAGATTTTAATGCATTGCATAAGATAATTTTTTTCATGGCTGCATACCTGCTACTAATTTTCTTGCTTTTGCATGATATATTTTTAGTTACTTTTATTGTCTGCACCTCCTTTACTGATTTTCATTTATGGCATTATTGAGAGAAGGCTGTGGTACTTCTCTTTGAATTTTGCCCTTAGTGGATCAGCATTGCAATTATCAGTGCCATGACCTTCTGCAGAGCAACGTGTACATGTGATTTTGCCACAACAGGACATTTTACAGTAGTGATGGCACTGAAAGTATTGCAAAGGGTTTGGTCTTAGGGCAGTAGAAGTACCTGGCCTTAATGCTCTTTGGCAGATCAGGCGAACTAAAGGTCAAGATTACATGCTTTATATTTATCAACTGACCCATTTTGTGTATCTCGATCCACATAGCACAGCAGACATTTTGGTCAGGTAATTCAGACACAATTTCCTCTTCTGATTCTCATTCTAATGCAGATGACATCAATCTCTCAGACTGCACCTTGGCAATAATTGTTTTATGCTTGGACACATTTATGTTGACTTTTCCAAAGTTTTTTAATCCCAGCAAGGTTACTGAGGCAGTTTCATCAAGGAGGTCTCCAGATCACAATTGCTTGATATTCTTTTGGTTTTTCAGTTGATGACTGAATATATTTTCGTATTAGGAAAGGATAAATAAAGTTATTTAAGTTTTTAAGTCCATTGTAATTGTAATAATTGTATAATTGTAATAATACATTGTAATTGATTGTATAATTTTAATAACAAGAAAATTGTGTATTATAATAGCAAGAAAATTGTGTATTACAAGAAATACATTGTATCATGTATTACAAGAAAATACAGTGGACAACTTTCAGCATTACAATTTACAGCTGTTTTCAGTTTCTTAACTTGAAACATTTTCAATATTTGCTTGAGTTTTAGAATCCATATTTAAAAGGAATAAAAAATTCAAACCCTGCAGCCCCACTCACTGTGGAGTCTAACAACTGGATGCAGATTCCTGTCAGGAATAACTGGATTTATATGCAATCTGAAGCCCCATAAGCTTTCTCATAAGTAGGAACTTTTGAAATCACCAAACTACAGACCCTAGGACCAATGAACTGACAATACCTGGGGCAGCTAATTGCTTGCCATTCTAGTCTGAAGCAGAGGACGAAGCAGTGTGTTGGGGACAGCACCTTGCCCCTCAACTACTAGTATCTTCCTTTCCAGCCTTACAGTCACAAAGCACGGCAAACACATAGGCGGCTTTCTCTCGAAGATAGGAACAAAGGGATAACACAGCATCTCAGTACAAGCCCCAACATCCAAAAAGGAAAATTACAAATTGCATTAGACACACTCTCACATGCATCTTTACATAATCCTTAAAAGATACAGAGTAAAATATAAGATTTTCTTAGATTAATACATTTTGAACTGGCTTTCTATTTGATATGCCTGCTGATTAAAAAGATTTTAATGCATTGGCATAAGATAATTTTTCGTGGCTGTATATCTGCTATCAATTTTCTTGCTTCTGCATGATACATTTTTAGTTACCTTTAATGTCTGTACCTCCTTTACTGATTTTCATTTATGGCATTATTGAGAGAAGGCTGTGGTGCTCCCCTTTGAATTTTGCACTTAGTGGATTGGCATTGCAATTATCAGTGCCATGACCTTCTGCAGAGCAATGTGCCCATGTGATTTTGCCACAACAGGACATTTTACAGTAGTGATGGCACTGAAAGTATCACAAAGCGTTTGGTCTTAGAGTAGTACAAGTTACTTAATTTGAGAATAAATATCAGTTGCCACCAGAATACATCAGTTGAAGCATAACATATGTTGAATTCCATGTTCATAACTTTTTAAATGGCCATGGCCAGATTCAGAAGCGGTAATCTCTGATGCATTGGGGGGGGGGAAGGACCTTCCCCTTGTGTGCCTGTTCCCTCCCTCTCACCTACTGGATTGCATAGGCATCTCCCTGAGACAGCTGTCAGCCAAGCAGGATGACGTCAGTGATTTACTTGTGTGGCAAGGTCTCTTGGACTTGGTGTAGGCTTTCCTGCCCCAAGGGGATTAGCAACAACAACATAACTTTTTGACAGACTTGCGTTTCGCTATTTTCCATAATGAGACTTGTAATTTGTTATTCTTTAATTAGATGTAAGAATTTAAATTTGAAAAAAGGTGAGCTTTTTATTAATTTAAACTTTATTTTATCAATTATTACTGGTACATATATAACTTCTTAATTTTGAATAATAAGAAATAATAAAAATTATACTGAATTATTTTATTTAACAATTAACTCTTCTAAAATACTCACAATATGCATATTATGCTGCTGTAAAGTATCTTGCTGTATATCCCACTCTGTGGCAACTGCTACAGCTAAAGCTTCATTAGGTAGATGTAACGAATTTCCAAGAGGTGTTTTAAGTTTATATTTGTCAAGACAAATTTCAAATCCTCCTTAAACATAAAAAATAAATAAGAACAAAAAATCTAAAAATTTTTATAATTAATGAAGAATACTACTAAGATAACAAATTAGTTTTATTTACCATTTGACTCACAAACATGAGCCTTTTTGTAAAATCTTTTCCTTGGTGCTATAATTGAAATACAAAACAGAGATTAATTTCAAAATATATATTACATCAGATAAAAATATAAAAACCAAAATTCTAACTTAAATTTGCAGTAGTCCCTTAACTTTCTATTTTAACTTCCAGTTTATGTCCTAAAAATAGTAAATGCTTAGAATAAACCTTTCCAAGCTGCATCATTTCAAAATTAATTGTTACCATATGATTCTTAGATAACACTAATGATGCAGAAACTTGCATAAGGTTTCAGCTAATAATAATTTCAAATTTGAGAACTAAAAATTAACCAGTCAAAATAAAACTAAATCATTCTGAATGGGAATTTTATCTTGTACACACTGAGCATATCTTTCTCTGCTTCTCCACCTAGTTAAATTGTTGTTACCACTTTCCTTATTGCAACATCTAGAAATGTAAAATTTATTCAAAAATGAAAAGACATTGGTACTTGGCATCAATTTATTAGTGATGCATCAAAAATGTCTGTAAACGAAAATAAAGAAATATTAGATTAGACTGTGACTGCACTGACTGTCACTGCTAATAATTATGCCATCAACATTCAAATTATTTCATACCTTAATTAAATATGATTATAAAAATAAGTCACATTAGTAACAACAAAAACTCAAGCTCTCATATTAATGTATTCTTTATTCTAAAAAATAATAACATGAAATTTGCAAAAAAGGAAATTATAATTTTCTGGATATAAAAAACCTAATAATAATCTTTAAGATTATTAATATCAAATAAAATTGGGTTAATCTTTGAATTATGGTAACTTGGCGATTTTTTGGCAAAAATCGACAACCAACCCTGCTACAGCAACCTGCTAGTTTTTGTTTAGACGCAATTTTGATTTTACGAAGTAAAGACATGGTTGTTTTTTTTTTTTTAAACCTCAACATTTTTTTTCCAACAATCTGCTAGCTGAATTACGCTTATGCTAGAACTTTTATGGAACAAAAGTGCTTAATCATGACGAAGATTAGGTGCGAAATTGGGAGAAAGTGCAGAATCGCCCACTGCTTGCCGCGTTTTTAAGAATTGCACATACTCGGTATCATCCATGTACATGTCGACCTATTTTCACTTAAAAAAAAATATCCCAGAATTGCACAAAATGGCATTGCGCACACTCTTGACTTTATCCATGTACACTGCTAAAGTCATAGCTAGTAATCTTTATCGCCTTACCAAAATGTCGCCAAACTACCTGTTACCATATTCCAAAGATTAGCCTACAATTGCTTAATAATAATTGTTCCCCCTTTATAACTGTTTAATTCATCTTTATTAAACTTAGAACAACAAAACTCATTTTCATCATAGTATATAAAAAGAATAATAATATAGCCATTAACGGTACTTTTCCATTTCACTGGCGCAGGTGATAAAATTATCAAAGATGATACTACCAATGCCAAATGGAATATCCTCACTGGTAACCTTTTATTGCCTCATTTTCAAAACAAGGCACTGCCATTTCTTATTAATTACACCTTTTACCTAATAAGTCAAAAATGGATTAAAAAAAACCAATGAAAATTTGGAAATTGCCCAGAACAGAGGATAATCTGTCAGGTTCTTTCAAGCAATACGCATTTTGCCTAAAACTGCTACTTGTGATAATAACCATGAAATGAAATTGTGGCTCTAGTGTAGAACTAGTAAGTGCGAGAAATTTTGTTCAGTTTTGGTGATGAAACCTCATTTCTGGTTATCATGATAGTTTTAACTTAATTTAACTTCCTGATTTTTTTTTTTAAAGTGAAAATAAATCAATGTATACATGGATAGCGAGTTTGTGCAATTCTTTGGCTTTGTATAGCAGCCATCTTGAAATTGTGCCTTGCTGAAGACAATCTACTGGTCAAAAACAAATAATAATAATAATAATAATAAAAAAAAACAAGGGGCACCCAATAGCAAACTTTTACTGAAATTGTATTTCAGAGATGAAATTCAGTGACACTGCAACCTTTCAACTTGTCGCAATAAGTGAAGTATCTAGAAAGGCACATGGTTCGAGTCATCGATACTGAGTTTCTTGAAGTATATAAGGTTTATTTATGGTTACAGCGAAGAATTAACTTCATTTAAATGGTGTGAAAAGCACTTAAAAATCAGTCATGGAACAATTGTGGACTGGAATATTCACATGCGCAAGGTTTGTGTGGATCCTTTGTTTAATGGCTACAGTGGAAAACAGGAGGACCCGGTTCTTCCTTTTTGTAATCTCAGTGCATTCCTCATCAAACCAATGATTATGTTTGCTTTCCCAATATTCCTGTAATGTATTCTCAGATGCTTCAACAATAATTTTCTTTGGATTTTGTCAAGCATTCTCAGCTGTTGGGGTTTATCACTTGTCGACAATTTATTCTGTAGTTCTGTACTATACTTCCCAATTATCTGTTTCCTTCAGTTGTTCAATATCAAGCTTTTTAGATTTTTGTTCTTTTCTTTTATTGTAAGATCTGTTGATCTTATAATGCAATTTCAAAATAATTAGAAAGTGGTCAGAACCCACATTAGGACCTCTGAATGTGCGTCCATCTATAAGACTACTTCTGTGTCTTAGGTCTATCGGTAAGTGATCTATTTGACTTTGAGTTTTTCCATCTCCAGGTGGCTTTACGCATATTTTTATGCTTGAATACTGTACTCCCAATCATCATATTTGGAGGGATGGCAAAGTTCATAAATCTAATACCATTCTCATTTGACTCCCTGTGTGGACTGTGGCTTCCCACAAACACACAGTATTATATAGCAAGAAAAAATTATAAAATGAAAAAAAAAAAAAAAAAAAAACTATTACTGAGAAGACAAAGAATCTATTTTCATATCATTCAATTCAACGAAATAAGTTCAGCAAAACTGTGCTTTAAAAATCATCATGTTAAGTCTTTTTGAAATCTCCTTTTTTTTTATCTACAGCTTTTCTTAAATTTACAAGTAATGCACACTGTTATAATTCTTTTTAAATGTTTAATAATTAAAACATTTTCAGTACTTTTTAATAAAAATTAGGAAAATCTCAAATGTGGTGATGCAAGATGCGGAATTTCAGGCACAGATTCTAGATGCACAACCTACTAAAACCAGGCGTTTTTTTGCATAGCCTTGCAATTTTCAGATTTCCTTTTGTATAGCAGCCATTTAACAATTTCAGAGGCATTTTTGTATATTTTAAGTTGGTTATTTTTCATATTTCTCCTCTGCTTTTGTAAAAGATGAATTTTTTACATTTTAATTTGATTTTTTAACATTGTTTTTCTTCTCTTTGGTAAGTTCACTTATTTGTATATTGTTTTAATCATTTAAATTTTCTGTTTACATTTCACACTTTAAACTTAACAAACACACAAGGGGTTTCTTCTTCAAAAGCATTTTATCAGCATGGTGCTTCTGCTGTATCTCTTCCGAATTTAATACGTTTTATATGGAAATTTATTACACGTTAATTATGTAACGTGGTTGATTAACTAAGATAATCGTGTTTGCTGGGTAAGATGGGTCATTCTCAGGGAAAGGAATACTTGCTGCAAAATTCCACATAAAATTATGAAATCATATCATTTAGTTGCTAGAAACTAAGACTAAAAGAACGACCAGTTGAAAGGAGCTTCAACTTTGTCACAGTTCGTAGGCCTTTATGGAACCGGATTGCAGGGGGGGGGGAAATGCAAAACAGAAATCTGAAAACATCTTGGGCAACATATACCATAACAAATTTCTAACATTTTCTGTTTCATAATTAAATTCCCCAGAATGCATTTATTTACATTATTATTGACTACTGCTCAGCTTTTTGCATATTTTACCATAAAAAATCAGAACAAATATTAATTTCTGTATGTTACCTGCAAAATTCCTACTAAGTAAATGAAAAGAGAATTTTCTTTGGTTAAAGAAAAATCTGTCAAATCTACTTCGTACAATTATTGACATAATTAAAATAAAATTTAAACAACGCTTTAAGTAACTATATTCGCATTACTTGAAACAGAGACACATAGATAACTGAGCATGAGTAAAAAGACTGAACCAAAGTTAGTATACTAAACATAAATTCGAACTCACGAATTGCCACGTCTTTCTGCACAAAAGGCGATGTTGGAATGAAAATTTTTCTTCAAAAATTAACGTAAGTTTATGCCTTTATATGTTATTTTGACATTTTTAGTTATTTGTTTGATTATTAAGAGTGGCGGAAAATTCAGAGAACCACCCCGAGCACTGACCTGCCCAGAGCGAAACGATGGAAGAAAAATATTTCTAAAACTTCGGGCCACTGGGCTCTTAAATATTTAGAACATTCACATTTCTAAAGCTATATCTAAAGCTCTAGAGATTAACATTTCTAGAGCTTTAGATGCCTTGCGCTATACATTACGTCATTTTCATGGAAGCCTTAAGCTGCCTGAAGACTCGTTCCTTCTCAGTAAAGTCAAATGGATCCAATCTCGTAGTAGTTGAGGATCACAGAATGGTTTGCTTTTTAAAGGCTGTAGACGATACCGGTTTTTTTTAAACGGGTTTTTTTTTACTGGTTTTTTTTGTTCGCGCATCCTGTGACCGCAGTCTCCTGGATCTACAATTTTTGCAGGTGGAGGAAAATGAAACAGTTATGAAATTAGTAAGCAATTTTTCGATGAGAACTCAGGCTTATGTTGAAAGAATTGGCAGGCATTTGTCAACAAACCACCTTAACGCCTACATTATATAGATACAAGATATATTCCTTTTTGTGAAAAAAACCCTACTGGGAAAATAACATGGAAAAAAAAATGAGAGAAAAGCAGACATCACTTCTCCCAATCAGTTATTGTATACCGTATCGTATGCTGTATTAAGTTAGAATTCTAACCTCCTAGGTATAGCTAAACTGAATAATTTTTAACTCTGAAGGAAATTCATAATTAAATAAGATTTTATTTATTCGAGTTTTGTAGCTTCAGAAGAGGCTTTTAAAAGTAAAAAAAAAATTTTTTTGGAATGCTTGTATTCAGAAACTAGTGAATCCGGTTTCGCTTTTCTTTTCATCCTCGAAGTCAAAAGACGCCGTGGTGTGGCGCTCTTGGGGAGTTTCTGCTTTCCATAAAATAATCATAAAAGCTTCTGCTTGCGACTGCAACCGGCTAACGTCGAATTGGTGAGCTAAACAGATGTCATGTGAAATTGTGAACATAGTAATGATGTTTCCCCGCTCTTGTCGGATTAGCTGATGAAAAATTCGGATCCGATCTTATTGGTGTCGCTTAGTTGGAAATATTTTTGCTTTCCTTATAGTTTCAATTCTTGATAGTACTCTATTAAGCCCAAATTGTTTATACTTACTATAGAACCATCTAAAAATGGCGGACGCCGGATTGTATTATGATACGAACGATCCCGAATTAAAGTACCTAGTTGTCGATCGAAATCTTATCAACGATCCCACTGCTCAAGCAGAATGGACCGCGAAAAAGTTAGTTTGGATACCGCATGAAGTACATGGATTTGTTGCAGCTAGTGTCAAAAGGGAGAAACCTGATGAACTGGAAGTTGAAATCGTAGAAACTAATAAGAGGTGTGTCGTTGCTAAAGATGATGTTCAAAAAATGAATCCTCCACGGTTTGCCAAAGTGGAAGATATGGCTGAATTGACTTGCTTAAATGAAGCATCGGTATTACACAACTTAAAGGACCGTTACTTTTCTGGTCTTATTTATGTAAGTCTTTATACATATTTACATAGCATTTACTGATCTGACATTCACATGTTATAGCATTTGTTTATCTATTACATATTTTTCATTTTATGGTGTTCTAATATAAATAAGTATTTATTTTGCCAGTTACATATTCTTCAACTTGCATTCATAAAAGATTTGAGTTTGGCACGAAATATTCTACTTTAGTATCACTGAAATATGCCAAAGTGAAAATAGATATTTCGCATATAGAAGTAATCTTTTAAAGGCGTTATTTGAATTGTTGTGATTGAGGTCTCTGTTATGGATAAAAAATTCAGAACTTGAAGAGGGCCGTAGGGAAGTGTTTAAATTTGTCCATGTACACATCAATCTATTTTTATTTTTTAAAAAATCAGGAGGCTAAAGCAAAGTTACACTATCATGGTAACCAGAAATACGATTTCATCGCCAAAATTTTACAAAAAATTGTCACTAATTGAAGGGGCACCCAATTCTACACGAGAGCCTGCTATTTTCTCATAAATTACAAAAATTTGCACGAAAATTCAGGAAAATTTTGTGAATCTTTAAACTCGGTAAAAAGCACATATGTGAAATTACCTGATCGCGAAAAAGTATATACCCTTTCCAAGGATGAACATTTCCACGTATAAAATAAATAAAATATCCTAAAACTTTTACCTCTTAAATTATCTATTATATTATAAACATCACCAACAAATTTATACCGCAAACATTAAAATAGTTACAAATACTTAGTGTCAAATATTTAAATTATTTCCATACACGTTTACTTCAACTGAAACGTATACCAAATTCCTACAAACATAAAATTCACAAAATAACTATCATTTAATTAAAAATATCACTAAACCATGTACACGTCGACTTATTTTTACTTAAAAAAACATCCCAGAATTGCACAAAAATGGCATTGCGCACACTCTTCACTATATCCATGTACACTTTTTTTTCTCATAAATTAGAAAAAATTTCACGAAAATGCATGAAAATTTTGTGAATCTTTAAATCCGGTAAAAAGAACATATATGAAATTACCTGATCGCGAAAAAGTATATACCCTTTCCAATATGAACATTTCCACGTATAAAATAAATAAAATATCCAAAAACTTTTACCTCTAAATTATCTATTATATTATAAACGTCACCAACGAATTTCATACCGCAAACATTAAAAAGTTACAAATACTTAGTGTCAAATATTTAAATTATTTCCATGCACGTTTACTTCAACTGAAACGTATACCAAATTGCTACAAACATAAAATTCACAAAATAACTATCATTTAATTAAAATATAACTAAACCATGTACACGTCGACTTATTTTTACTTAAAAAAAAAATCCCAGAATTGCACAAAAATGGCATTGCGCACACTCTTCACTATATCCATGTACACTGCTTTTTTCTCATAAATTAGAAAAATTTCACGAAAATGCATGAAAATACTCAACGTATACTACTCAAATGTATTCCAAAATACTACAAACATATAACTCACAAAATCACGATCATTAAATTAAAATATAATTAAATTAAAAAACACTACTTAAAATATAAATAAGCACATACATTAAATTAATAAAAATTAGATTACAATCCTAATTACTTTAAACTAAATCATTGCTAATAACAATTTTCCAATAATACCATATTAATTTATTTACTCCTTACATTTAGAACAATGCATAAAAATAATATCCTCAAATGATTAAAAATACTAACTTACCTAATCTTCTTCAGAATCTTCATTACGTGGCAAGCATACTTCCCTACAGAAAGAGTTCCAATCGGCTGCAGTACTACTGCTAATTTCTAAATCCGAAATCCAGTAGTCAACTGGCAGTCTATTCACCCAGTAATAAGAAATTAATAAAATTTCACCCATACTCAAACTACTTTCAGCAAACCACGTACCCTTCCTTACACTCCGTTTCACAAAATGTCCATTTTCACCAGATTTCTTGCACCGCCATTCAAACTTATCTGTAATATCCTTCCTTTCACACAATCTCATTTCATTCCCACATTTTGGACATTCATACTTATCCGCAATTAAACCTACACTCATACACCATTCAACCAATTCTTTTGAATTATCAGATAAACGCATTAAAAATTTAGAATTCACTTTAGATAGCGCCATGCAATCCGAAAATTAATCAACACTATTTCACACAACACACAATGAAGCTTAATACAAAATAATATAGTACTACAGATATTTTTCCAAATTTACCCCCTTTTCCGATTAAAGAACTGTAATTCGTCCATTAATGTCACATGACATCTCATGATCTCTCATTTCCCTCACACAAAATAATGCGTAATCGGAACTGAGTACTTCTCACATTATTACCAAAGTCCTAGGTAGTAACCTTTATAGCCTCCAAAATGTCGCCAAACTACCTGTTACCATATTCCAAAGATCAGCCAAAAATTGGATTTTTGTCAATTTTCTTTGACTTTTTAAGTGAAAATAGGTCAATGTGTACATGGATAAAGTCAAGGGAGTGCGCAATGCCATTTTTGCGCAATTCTTTAATGTTTTTTGAAGTGAAAAAAGGTCAATGTGTACATGGATACCGAGTATGTGCAATTCTTAAAAACGCGCCAAGCAGTGGGCGATTCTGCACTTTCACCGAATCACTGATTATGTGGTGATGTTCTAAAATTACGAATTTTTCTTGCACATCTTATTGTCTGTCTAGCCAAGAAATAGCCATTCTGATAAGACATGTATACTGGCTCATGAGCATACGGCTCAGTCGGTATACAGGTCTTAGAGTTAACTTTTATTATGGAGATTTTTTAATACTTAGTGTTTATATTAACTTAAATTTTCAGCTGCTATATTTTTTTTTTCTTTTATCTTTTTTAACTAATTAAAAGTCTTCCTTGCTTATGATCTTTTGTAAAATGACCACTTATAAATTCATGCAATAAATAAGTAATGTAAAATTTATAGTATTGTCATGGAAAAGTTGAAGTTATAATCAGTACTATTTAATTTTTTTTTAATGCTCACTATAATAGAAACTGTGGGTAGAGTAGACTTTAAGGTACCCTTTGTATTATGGCGAAGTTGTTTGATTTACTGCCAAGTTGTTGTTTCATTTATGGTAGCCTGAGTAGTTCAATATTATGGAAACCCTATTGTGATGTAATCGGGTGCATGATTCTGGGAAATTGCGAATCATGGGATGTGTTGTAAGCGTTTTTGTGGTGTGTGTTGGTTTGATTCTTTAGACGGTAGAATGGCCGAGTGTAGTAAGATTAATTTGAAGTTTCTGTACGATTTGGAGCGAAAGGGAAAATAGCTTTAATTGACTGGTGTGTAAATGAAGGTTTACTTAGTAGCCATTATAAGTGTCCTGTATGTAGGAAAGATATGCGTCTAGTCGAACGTAAAAACTGTTTAGATGGATTTGAATGGGTTTGTAGGAAGAAAGGTTCAGATGGTCACTGTGTGAAGCATTCGATCAGAAAGAGTACCTGGTTTGAAAAAAAATCATTTGAGTATGATTGATATTTTGATTTTTACATGGATCTGGGTGTACGAAGCGAATTCGAAAATCGTGGTAAGTGAATTTCCTTTTGGTAGTGCTTAAATGTATAACATGTTTTTCCTTTTTTATGTTATTTTATTGTTTGGTTTAAAATGTATTTTATTGAGATTATGTATTTTTTTGTTTGCCTATATTGTAGAATTTGGTGCTCTTTTGACTTTGTAAGTGAAAATATTCGATGTGTACATGGACAAAGTAAAGGGAGTGTGCAATGCAAGTTTGTGCAATTCTGGGATTTTTTTTTTAAAGTGAAAATAGGTCGACGTGTACATGGATAAAGTTAAAAGAGTGCGCAGTGCCATTTTTGTGCAATTCGGGGATTTTTTTTAAAGTGAAAATAGGTCGACGTGTACATGGATAAAGTCAAAGGACAGCGCAATGCCATTTTTGTGAAATTCGGGGTTTTTTTTTAAGTAAAAATAAGTCGATGTGTACATGGATACCGAGTTTGCAATTGTTTGTCTGGTAAAAGTTTACAATCGGGTGCCCCTTGTTTCTTGGCGATTCTTTTTTGACGCCAAGATCGGTGCCAGGAAGGCACAATTTCAAGATGGCCGCTACACAAAACCAAAATAAGAAGTTAAAGAATTGCACAAAGTCTGTCAGAAAAAAAAAAAAAAAAAAAAAGTCAAAACAAATAATAATCACTGCTAATCCTCAAAGTAATCACCATTGACATTCAGTGCCATTTGTCAACGAGTGGCTAGCTGTGCATTGCCATCGCGGTAAAACTTTGGAGTCTTAGACGCAAAGAAGTACGTGAGGGTCTTTTCGAGGTCTGGCTGGTTGTTGAAGAATTTCTCTCGAAGATAGTTGTTCAGAGAATGGAAAAGGTGGTAGTTTGTTGGTGCGAGGTGCGGGGAGTATAGTGGGTGAGGTAGTGTCTCCCAGCACAGTCGTTGCATGTTGTCCCTGGCCTCCCGTCTACATGTTTTCACATTGTCGTGGAGGAGGAGTACATCCTTACAACTGACCAATGCTGGCTTTTTTTGTATCAGTACCTGATGCGCACTTTCCAACTGCTGTGAGTAGAGGCCTGCTATGATGGTTTGGCCCACTGGCAGGACCTTATAGCACACCACTTGGCAACTAGTCTGCCAGATACAGAGTATTATCTTGCGTAGGTAGAGAGAAAGAAGGTCTCGCAGTGTGAGGTACAGGGTCCCGTGGTGATAACCAATGTCTGGAATGCCTGGGTGTGTCATACTTAACCCACCTTTTCATCGCTGTTGAGTACTCGAACAAATTTGTATGCATTGTGGTGCCAAGTAATGGCAAACGGGCAGCGATATGCAGTTGCTTGTTTGTATCGGACAGTGAGTGGGGTACCCACTTGTTCAGCTTATGTGCCTTTCCTATGCGGTGCAAATGGAGTCTGATCGTATCATCAGATACCTGGAAGTATCCAGCAAGCTCACCAAA